GCTCGTCGACTCGGGCCTGGCAAGTTACAAGCTTGTCGTGGGCGAATATTTAAATGGATTTGCGTAGGGCAAGATGCGACTTGTCAATAAACCACTCTATGAGATAGTTTTAAGGGTGATATTAGATTGGAATTTTTTCGTTAGATTTTTTTTCTATTGAGTCGTTTTCTTTTGGGTTCACCTTCTAGAGTATGTTTGTTAAAGTTAAGTAAAATATTTGATAGTTAATGTGAAGTAATTTCATGATGACTTGTTTAAGTGCAAGTCATCCGATAGTTGATATAGGATAATGTAAGTTGTCACTTAAAACACTTGGATCATCTCAGTTTCATCAAGAACATTTTTTTAAAACTATATACTGACTAATCCCATTTTTTTCCTTTGAATAACATAAAAAAGTTTGAGTTTTGTTACATTACGTTAAAATAAATTCAATTGAACAATTCAAATGACGGCTCGTATTTTAAATTTCCCTTGTCGTCCATTCTGCTATCACCTTAATTGAACCCTTTTGGGAATATGGATGTATTGTTTCAATCAATCGGTTTTACTGACAGATCGTTTCACGGCAAAATAAATTACATTCGACATATTTTCTAAATAAAACGTTTTTAACAGGAATTGAATATAGAACTTTATTACGTTTTATAAGCTGCGATGATGTACCTAGAGGTATTTTAGATGGGTGTAAACTTCTACTAAAACTCGCTTTCAATAAAGTAGAGGCGATCAATTCTTCCGAAATAATTAATCATACTTTTGTTTCAAAAAATTTGTACTTGACGAGACCAATCCAATCCCCCGTATTATAAGTTCCTATGTTAAAAGTACTTAAACTTGAAAACTGAAAGAACTGAATAACACCTAGCTTCACTGATGGACTGACTGGCAGACTATTATTTATTTTGTATTTGTTGACGTTTCAAAAGTACCAAAATATGGTTTAATTAAAATAAAAGCTTTGACTTTGACTTATGACTTTAACAAACATACGTTGCCAATTTCATATCTTGAATGGATCAGACGCCAGTATATATAGGTGAATCCCTGTATGTAAACACATATATACCAATAGTATATCCGCCATTCACAATTTTAGCTGAATTTCAGGGAAAGGTAATTGAATTGAGTTTGAAGTCGGTTGGATATATACGTCCGGAAGGTATCTCCTGATTACATTTGCAAGGTCTCATTTATTTGTGACAGTAGTTGGAACTACGACATCTAATAAATCTAGTTACTCCATGTCAACCCACCTGACATTTTTTTTTCGTTCCAATTCTTGCAATTATCTAACTTCTGGCCTGCTTTTTATAATTTATTTTAACGTCGGGTCGTGGCGATGTCGCGCAGCCTACTACCAGTATCACGCACGCTACTCATGAGGAAGAGCCCCTCTGTGGCTCGAAACTTGTAGAGCTTTTCTCAATATTTTCACGAGAGTAACCCGCAACTTTTAGTCAATTTATTTATGTCTCACGATAGTTATTATACAAATAATTTATTTTGTTCTTAGATTATGTTAAGGTTTGACCCAGTAGTATTTTAAAAAAATAACATGCTATGTGTCTCGCATAGCCACTTACCATCCTAAAATCGGCCTATAACCTAAGCAATGATGTACTTATAGTACTTTAAATTCCAAGCACAAAAACCTGATACCTTCTTGGTATAGAAAGATAGTCACTATGTCATACATTACAAATATAATAGAACCCATCGTACTGTAAAATTTTATCCACAAGCAACAATAAAGTGAACGAGGAATGATGAAAATCTCCGCTTTTCATTTTACGTTCCATAGCACTCTCAATTCACTTGTTATTCCAACGATATTACTGATATAGCGTAATGCACTGCAAAATGGACTCTCAAACAAAATTCTGTTCTATGTTTTTGACGTAAGGTCCATTTTTATACAAATAGATTATAGAAGGAAATAGTTATCTGGGCTTGTTTGTGGAAGTAGGTATTATATTTGTGGACATAAATATTGTATTAATATGATATTATACCTAGAGAGGCAAATTGAAGGTTCTACAGAGGTAGAACCTTCAATTTGCATCAACGCAACCACTAAGTATAAGATCTTTAGGACGATGTTCAGGTTCAAATTAAGTGTTTATCTTACTGGGAATCTCAAAAGTGGTAGGTCTAATCTAGAACTCCTATTCGGTAATTTTGTCAATGCAATTTCCTATTAGGCATTACTATGCGCTTGTGCTGGCAAAATAGACATCAGAGGCTTACTCTTGAAACCAATCTCAATTTCAATCTAATAAAATCTCACTAATTATTCAATGTCTAAACTATACAATCCCTATTGTGGCTGCTTTTTGTTTTTTAGTTCCTTAAATATCCACACAATACTGATGCAATGGGCGCTAGTGTTAAAACTCAAGAGTAGGAAATTTAAAAATACCAATGCCGTTCGATCGGAATTGGATTCAAGAGTAAGCCCCCTGGTCTGCCTACACTTTTACAGAATTACCTACAAGTTCACGACTTCAATACAAGCAACAACCAGGCACTACAAAATGTGTATGAACTACAAATATCTAGTATGGTCTTTAAACTCCATCATCCTTCATTATGTTGAGGGTAACATATTACATTGAAGTTGTTAATTTTACTAATGTATGTTAGTTACTTGATACCCTTGTCCTTAATATTCCTTCCGTTAACATAACATAACCTTACGCTTGTTATCCCTTGAGGGCTCAGTAAAGGTGTACTGTGTATTAAATTTTGGTTAGTGTTATTATGGTTTATTTCGTTTAAGATCCATGAATTAGAAATATCTGCTCATGAGGAAGAGTCCCTTTGTAGCTCGAAACTAGTAGAGCTTTCTTCGTGTATTTACGTGAGTAAACCGATGTTTTAGTTAATTTAATAAGTCCCTCGATAGTTATTATATGATAAAAAATAACTTAACTACACTTTAAACTTAAGAGCACCCAAAATGTGATCCCCAAACCACAATCGCCAAGCACGGTGATTATTGCAAACCCCGTTTTAAGAGAGAGACTAATTCGGCTGATAACGATGATGGTGATAAATAAAACTAAATAATACATACATAACATTACGCCTTTTATCCCCGAAGAGGTAGGCAGAGGTGTACATTACGGCACTTAATGCCACTGTACAATGTTACACCCACTTTTCACTATTTATGTTATGAGTCCCATGTATATGTAGGTGAGCCTATTGCCATATACCGGGCACAATTCTAGACTCCGTACTTCTACTGTTTTTTTTTTTGAAAAAGAAACCAGTTATACTTTCGATATATATAATCGAACTCGAATATAGAATCGAATCCGAAAATCCCTTGCCCGGCAGTCGCACTTGCGACCACTCGGCCAACTAGGCAGTAAAACTAAACAACTTAAATGATCAGAAGTTAAATCTTTACTATCAGTTTAACTCAATAAAAAGTCTAACACTACATATAGGTCAACAGCAGCCTGTTCTCGTCCACTGCTGGACTGGCTGGCTGGACGTCTGTCCAATCAGCGTGCCATTGGAGAGGCCTCTCTCCAATGGCACGCCACTGCTCGATCTCTAAGCATCCAACCACTACCAGCCACTTTGTGGAAATCGTTACCTAGCTGGAGGGCGCCCTACACTACGTTTGCATAGACGCGATCTCCACTCTAGAACACGGCTACATAATGAGTAGGTATATGAAAAAGAAAATAAAAACACAGATTTCCTTTTAATCTTGCAGTTTTTCCATTCAGTTTTGCCATCGCAAGTATCGGAGGTTCACGCTAGACACAATCAATTACTCAGTGTCGATGCGCCACAATCTAGATTACATCCTAAGTGCACAGATGTTTGAAAACCAATTCGAATTTATATCACATCTACGTTCAACGTATCTCGTGAATTATGTATGTATACAATGTTATTCGACGGCTAAATGTTTATTCAATTTTAGTTTATTGTCTTTTTCTTGCAAGTAGGTTAATATTATTATTAAAATACTAACGACCCGCCCCGGCTTCGCACGGGTGCAAATAGAAACCTCTAAATTTATAATTTTTTCTCTACTATATTATGTATGTATTACACATATAAACATTCCTGAAGAACCACTCTATAGATTGATATTATGTAGTGATGCCATTATACCAGGATGCATAACACGTACAATAATAATGATATTAAAAATATTCAACTAACATATTAAGTACATATGTGTGTACAACTAGGTAAGTATGACCTAAGTAGGTACTATGAAATCTGATGCAGGCACAGGACACAATTTAATTTCAATTAGTGTTTGTCAGTACCCGTCAAGGTGGAGCACCCCTTGATGGTCACTGAAAAACACTACGCGTGTGTACTGCAGCATCATTCTGATTGACGACTTTTAATTTTATAATGTCACTGTAAATGTTATTTTAGCTTTTCAATTTATTTTTTCGGCTATCGTACTTTTAACTAGTGTTTTGATTAATTTGACGAATTTACCTTCAAAATATCAAAGTAAACTCCAAACGATTTTGTTCGTACTAATAATTTTCATTTTGAATTATCGTGCACTGTTATACAATTTCAAAATAAAGACTTTAATCAAATTCCTTGTAAAAATAAACATAAAACACAGTACCTATATTCTGTATAAACGTGGGATACGTAAAAATATCGTCGCTTCCTTAAAACCATTGCTATGTTTTTGGATTATAAACAAAACGGAAAATTTACTCAATCTGTTTATTTTCGGTAACACAAAGAATTTCTTCATAAAATTAATATTTAAATAAAAACTCTGCTGAACAAATCACTCTCTGTTATCTTCAGCGCGATAAGTAGCGACGGCGCAATAAAACATTCAAACTGACAATAGCCACAAAGACTCCCATAGTCTCACGGACACAATCACCGGCTCATATAACAGACACAACATTATCTTATTACACGACTCTCATAACATTACATTAGTACTTACAAAGAATTCATAATAAACGAATACCAATTTATCTGTATAGATACGGAGGACCGTAGCGGCGAGATACCAGCGCTTCCTGACCAGCTGTGACCCTATAACCTCGCACATCGACAAAATGCCTTATCACCGCACTATTACCAACTTATTGACCGGGAAGGTTCGTTATCAGTCGCCAACGAAACCCGCCAGCGTAAACATGAACATGAAATAAGTGATATGAACTCAATTAACGTGATACACTTGTGGACGAATGATGTGCGTTAAATCTTTAAAATGGGTGATCTGCTACCGAGTATACCGAGGAGTACGTTCGCGAGTGAGGTAGACGGAGGGAACTACAGCCTCGAGGGCCCGAGAGTGACGGAGTACCGGTCTGACGCGGAGCTGGCTGCTGTGGAGCTGTTCCGTGACTACCCGGAGCCACTGCTTCGCTTCGCTTCCGTGTGCTGCGTGCTCTTCATGCTTGTCGGCATCCCTGGCAACCTCATCACCATTGTTGCACTTGCAAGGTGCAAGAAGGTCAGTTGAAATGTATATTTTCTGAATCTATATTTAATTTAAAAAAAGATAATCTTTAAAGTGTACATAGCTCTACTGGTATAAACCGCCTTCAGCACTTTTGCGAAAACCAATTTAGACTAGTGTTTCATTGCTTTCGAAAACTTACTTTACAAAAAGGTTAGGTGCAACAGATTGTAATTTTCTCACCATTCGCAAGGTTTCAGTTGAGTCTAAAGTTTCAAGAAGTGATAATTCTACTTATCTGTAGCACATACCTATGATATATACATAAGGAAATGGTAGCAAGCAATCAAGATATTATAACAGGTGAAAGTTCAAAATATTTCATGATAATTTTATATCAAAGTCTAAAACAATATATTATTACTCGATAAAAATTGTACTTCGTAGATTACATACATACTTGAAAATTCGTTAATGAACCCAGTAGGCCAAACAAATAAATAGTCATTACATCACTGTTTATTCAAGTGTACGGTAATTGCATGAACAATAATTACTTTATTAACCTAACAATTTACGAAACGAAACAAAATATTCGTATCTTTTTGACTATACCAATTAAGCCATTAGATAAGATCATATAAGACAAGTATGTAGACTTAGTTAACACATTATGATGGTCAGTTAGCTTAACTGACAAGAACATTAACTAATATCTCGATGTAACAAGATAGTCGAAATCCTTTTATAAACTCAATTACGGGTTAAATATTTACACTTATGAAATTCGTAGATTTTTCTACGCCTAGTTTTTCTTCGCACTTAGTACATAATATAAAGACTTCACTATAAAGTAAAGTAGACATAGTTACATATACGTACGACGTACATAGGTAAAGCCTTTTACATCAAGAATTTTTAACATTTCAGTTATTGCACTGATTTAGAATTAATTCATTTTATATCTTGTGAACGATATTGCCACATGTAGGTTTACCTACATGGAATTGACATTGAATTAAATGAGTCCGTCTTTATATAGGAACGTAGGAAGTCCCATGTTCTTCCCAGAATATTAAGCTCTATAATTTTATTGTGAAACTTTTTTTTTTAACCGCTTTCGAAGGCTATAGAAAGCAAACAAACAAATAATCAAATCTATGCTCTTTGTAATAGTATCTAGAATAGATAAATAACTGATATTCACGTAGACATCCATTGACTAATTAGTCTGTTGTGTTAAATAAACAGAGATATATTATTATTTTATTAGTTAGGAATCATGAATCATAATATCAGACCGTAAATATCTATCGATGGACATTGGCCTCTTCTTACCAGACCGCCATAATAGACATTCGTAAGAGATAAAATGTTATCTAATTGTAAGGAAATAGTTTACAATATTACGATAATATATTGACAGAAAACTAAAGCTCATTTTATAGACGAAATTTTAGTAGATATTTTGTCAAACGTCCGCTGACTACACATCAGAATGTTATTGCAAAAACAACTTAAAACTTTGCTTAACACTCCTCAAATATAACAATCTATATACAAATACCTAGATAATTCTCAAAAGAATATTAACAAGGGAGAAGTGAAACATGTAGTTCGCAAAATCGAAATTCATATTCATATTACAAAATATTATTTTAGGAGAACAAGGAACGAACAAATATTAATCTTGTCACAAATTATCTGCTTGAACACGCACGCGGACGTCTCATAATTTATTTTATCATTTTTTTCCGTCAAATACACGTGTCATATATGTTCTACTTCTGAATTGATAAAACAAAAGCGTATTTTATTATAGGTACTTACGTATTTACTACTGAAGTCTAAATATAGAAAAACTGTACTACGAAGTGTAAATGTGATTAATACCATTTTGCGATAAAATGACAATAAATGCAATGAAATACTACATACTTAACTTAGGTCAGTGATCGACTCACTGTACAGAAATAATGAACTTAATTCGCTACTAGAATACGCTTATGATAATGAAGTAAACTTCTCCATACAATTACCAACTCAATGAATTTTTATGTGTTTTTGAATAGAAAACGAGCTAAACTTTCGAGCAATACCTTGCTCAGTTTTACAGATAAAAATGTGGATTTTAGGAAACAAATTGTGTTTTAAATACCTATACAACTTAAGTTTTAATAAAATGTTGTGCTACTAGCCCTATAGGTATAAGTAAAAATAAAACACAACATGAACTTTTATAAAAATAGTAACCACATTCTGTCGCTTGCAGGTTCGCAACGCTACCGCAGTGTTCATAATGAACCTGTCATGCTCCGACCTCTTGTTCTGCTGCTTCAACCTGCCGCTCGCTGCGTCCACCTTCTGGCGCCGTTCCTGGGCTCACGGCAGAATCCTCTGTCGAATGTTCCCCCTCGCGAGATACGCACTCGTTGCAGTATCTCTCTTCACGGTCCTGGCTATCACAATCAACAGATATGTGATGATCTCCCATCCACGTCTATACCCCAAGTAAGTATATCTATTATATTAATTAAAGTGACGTAATCATTGCGTATTACGTGTTCAATAATTGACGTGAATATTGTTGATTGTTACAATCGGTCTTTACCAGGAAAATTCGTAAAGTCTTCCGGAATCCTTAATTACAATGTTATTTTGTCAACAGGTTGTATCGACGTCAATACTTAGCAGTAATGGTGGCTAGTACTTGGGCTTTCTCATTTGGAGCATTAATAGCAACGTGGTTAGAAAAATGGGGCAGATTTGGCTTGGATCCTACGATTGGTTCCTGTTCAATACTTCCCGACAAAAATAATCGATCTCCGAAAGAATTCCTCTTTGTGGGTGCCTTCATGTTGCCCTGTCTGGCCATTGTGATTTGCTATGCTAGGATATTTTGCATTGTCAGAGAAGCAGCAAGAAAGTCACGAGCCCCAGCACGAGGGCGATCTCGGCCAGGCTTAGAAGACTCTGCAGTTGGTTCAGCTTCAACAGCACTGGAACGATCTCCTGGCCCCGAAAATGGAATCAATCATGTAGCTCCACCTAGAAGGGCTCTCCTAGCACCACCAGCACTGCACTGTCCTCCGACGCCCGGACCTGAGCGGTCCTCTTCGTCTGGTGTTGATACATTAGATGGCCATGACGAGGAATGCGCACTGGACGCTAAGCCTAGAACACCGAGTGGTGGTGAAACTGCTAAACGTCTTAGACAAGCTGCAGTCGCATTAAGACGATCGCCAGCCTCTGTAAGGCCACCTCGACTGACGCCAAAAGACAGAAAGTTACTAAAGATGATAATGGCAATAATGTTATCGTTTTGGGTGTGTTACTTGCCCATAACTTTGACGAAGATATTTCGAGAGTTTACGTCGCATCCAGCGGCGAATATAGCGGGGTATATACTGATATACCTGACGACGTGTATCAACCCAATCATTTATGTGGTGATGTCGTCTGAGTACCGGCAGGCGTACAAGAACCTGCTAATGTGTCGTCGCTGGGCGTGACGTTCGCCCGGCGATGGCGCCTCCGAGAAGCGCCCGCCGTGACTAGTCGTAAATCGCTGGACAGCCTGAATAACTGCAAATAATGGACACTCAAGTACATGTGTGTAAAAGATAAGTGACCATAAACTGGTGTAGTGTAGTGACAGCGTTAACTTATTTGTGTATACGTAGAGGACGTTCAGTTACGTAGACAATTTTGTAATCGCGAACCGTCCGTGATTGTGCTTAGAGGTGGGAAAGGAAGCAATTACAATGTTTTATACTGAAGTAGATATTATGATATTATACATGATATTTAAATTACATCGTAATCTCGTATAGTGATACTCAGCGCGATCATACGGATGCCCAAATGAAATATCCTACTGTCGTATTAATCATCTCATTCAGTGTATTTAGTGATTTACATTTTATCATCAAAATGATATGAATGAGTCATTGTTAATGTTTAATTGTACATTGTAAAGTATTACGTTCGGAACTTAGCAATAAGTCAATGAAAGTGAACTAAGTTGGGAAGCAATATTAAACTAGTGACGACGTGTCGGGCTATAGCGAGCCTCTGGAGCACTATCAATCTCGGGCGTACCCATGACAGTTAAATTGACTCATTAAGGAAAATAAAATTAACAAAAGGTTAAATATTGAGTCTTTGTATTCATTTGTATTCAAATGTTTGCTATTTAGTGACGTGTTTTAAGTTGTGTTGTTGAAAATGGGTGAATCTTCTATATGGGGTGTTGACAATGCGAGTGGGATACCTGGATTGCACTCGTACGACTCTGATGCAGCACTGGCTGCGGTGGAGTTGTTCGAGGGCTACGACCAGCCTCTGCTGCGCTTCGCCTACATCAGCTGCATGCTGTTCATGCTCATCGGCATCCCTGGCAACCTCATCACTATCATTGCACTGGCAAGGTGCAAGAAGGTCTGTACCTACATCTTCTCTACTTTAAGATATTTAGCTAAGTTCTAGTACTACATAGTAAACGACTTGACGAAGTTAAGACCGCTAAATTTGTAAATCATCTAACAATTAACGGTTCACAGGAAATTCCATTCCCACGGGAATTCCTTTCTTAGCACATTTCTATAAGATACAAATTATATTAACATTGTTATGTTCATGATTTGCATATTTGAAGATTATATCTAATCTAAACGTGTCATTATCTGTGTGGCAATTATAAATGTTTTGTTGACTATGTATACATACATATAAATATGTAATTATAACATCATAAAAAAGTTTATCTCTTGACATACCATATCTGGTTAAAAATAGTTTTAACTACTTTGAAAAAAAAACAAAGATGTCTTATTTATTTCATACTAGCGACCCGCCCCGGCTTCGCACGGGTGCAATATGCATGTATTATACATACAAACCTTCCTTAAGAATCACTCTATTTATTAAAAAAAACCGCATCAAAATCCGTTCCGTAGTTTTAAAGATCTAAGCATACATACAGACATACAGCGAAAGCGACTTTGTTTTATACTATGTATTGAAAATTCATTTCCACTAACTAGGCCAGTTAACCACGATACAGAGTGATGTCATTTTTATAAAACTATAATAATTATATTACATTCTTAGAATCTAAATAGGTTGAGACATTTGAGAAAAAAATCAATTTCTCCTTTTCTCATACTCTTCTTCCTTTTTCAATTACGAATCTCTATAACATAATTTATAATAGGAATAGTACATTTAATTGGCTTATTATTGAATGATTATATGTATAGATTAACACATTTATTCCAACGGTAAACGGACTTCCCACCTAGTGTTTCCAGGCAAATCTGTAACCAATAGGTACCTACAGACCTGATTAAAAGAATAGGTTTACAGGAAAACTCTGGTGTAAACACGATTGATTCACTGAAGGATTTATAAAACATGACAAAGCTACGAATCTACTATAACATACTTGAGCTATAGTACCTATATTAATATAGTTTACTTTCGTCTCCTATGTTTGACTTAAATGAATTTGACAAATTTTACTTCCCAAAAAATGTTTCGCATAATTTCATTTGCCAAATTATTGAACCTACACAAAAAATTGTAACGCAAACCAAGTGTTTGAGAAATGAACGTTTAAACTATATCTTGTTTACCAACTAGTATATACTTTTAACATTTTTTATTTCTTCAAATATTTCTGTTGGAATAACAATTTTTCTAAGTTTATTCAAACAGCACTGACGAACGGTGAAGGAAAACATCGTGAGGAAACCTAGGCTTATAATTCCTAATTATAAGTTTGTAATCGCCAACCTGCATTAAGCAAGCGTGATGGTTAATGCTCAAACCTTCTCCATATGAGAAAAGGCTTTGCTCAGCAGTGGGCATAGGCTGTTGATGATGACCAGTTTTTACGCTAAAAACTCTCAGTTTTGCCTTACTATTTTTTGTCTTAACAAATCATTTCCTCACGATGTTTTTCGAGTTATATGTACTTTCTAAGATTATTTATACACCTGATAGACGGTGAAGGAAAACATCGTGAGGAAATCTAGTCTTGTCATTTCTAATTATAAGTTTGAAATGGCCAACCAGTATTGAGTAAGCGTAGTGATCAATGCTCAAACCTTCTCCATGTAAGAAGATGCCTTTGGTTAGTAGCGGCCACTTATACTGTTAATGTGATATGAAGATATACATTTAAACGTTAATATACATAAACCTATATGTACATATGTGTATTGATGTCCCATCACGCCTGTTACGTTATTACGGTAGGCAAAGTAACACCAATTAACATATTTCGGCATTCCTCTTTCACTTCATCAGCAGTATGAAAGATACATGTAATTTAATTTTTGATTAACAACAAACAACATGCGTTCTGTAATAGTCCATAAAAAGTCTGATTTTCTTTAATTACTTAAATCTTTGTAAGTTAGATCTTACTACTACCTCGTTTGCCGAGTGGTCGCAAGTGCGACTGCCGGGCAAGGCGTCTCGGGGTCGGGAAAAATTATACTCGGTTTTAAAAAAAAAATCAGTAGTAGGCACCTAGTCTGGAATTGTGCCCGGTATATGGCAATAGGTTCACCCCCTATTACATGGGACTCATAACATAAAATAGTGTAAAGTGGGTGTTACATGGTACAGTGGCATTAAGTGCCATAATGTGCACCTCTGCCTACCCCTTCGGGGGTAAAAGGCGTGATGTTATGTTATGTTAGATCATACTAATATAAAAATATATTTGTATGTTACTCCTTATGAATAGGGATAAATATGGTCTGGAATGACACATACTTCGACTATTTATTATCCCACGGGCGAAGCCCAAGAGGTAGTAGGTACTTCAGGTACTTCATAAATAATGCAGAACTAAGCTCATTAAAAATACAAGAAAATACACTGGCATCATTACAGGAGCTTGTGTACTAGACACGCTGCAAACAATAAATACTATTACCTATAAACTATATCTCAACATTACGAGTACTACTTACTTATCTTTTCTACTAACACAGAGAACAATAATATGATACTAGCTTCAGCAAGCGGTTTCGCCCGCTTACATGATAAAATCCTAGAGTGTCATTTCTTAAAAACAAAAATCGTAATTTGATTGTCTTGTGAATCCAGTTTGACACACAAACAGCACAGAAGGTAACACATACATAAAATTGGAGTACATTAGGGTGCTACTTATTCCTGTTGAAATTTCAATGAAATTTACTGAATGTAATTTAATGAAACAAAAAGAATAACATTATTACTTTCCTTACTATATTTCCTAATCTGTAAAACCTCAAATAACCGTATACGTACATACACGTATCAGTAAATAGGTAAAATAACAATGATACATTTGGTATTTACCAACACGTCAATACAATTATTGTTATTACCCTTTCACTTAGTTTGCGAAGGAAAAATAAACAAACAGGTACTATGTACTTATGTATCACTTAGATTACGTAAATAATTAGATAAGTTTGAGAGAAATTAGGTATACTATTTAAATTTAGAATGAAAGTATTTTTATTCGTGAAGTCAAGCAAAAGGTTCTTGTATTCGTTTCCCCCAAATTGCATGTTCATATTTTTGGGTATCTATCTACTACGGTATTTTAAAATATTCAGGTATTGCACGAAATCTAGAACATCACTAGAAATAATATGGTAATAGACATTATAAGGATTTATAACATGATATACTCAACTCGCACTATTACTAGTAATAACCTTTCAAACTAAGAAATGAATTATCTGCTTACAATTGAAGGAGTAATCGGTAAAATACAAACATCCGACCACAGCATACCTCCTCCTTTTTTTTAAGTCAGTAAAAAATGGGTGTTACACTGAATAATATTAAATATGTCCATTCTGCAAGTCTGCCTTTCCTTTAAGGACAAAAAGTATATGTTTCGTTTACGGCCTTGCCTACAAACCAGTAAGGTGTCTGGGTTGATTGTTTTTATTTAAAATTCACTACTCATTGAATGTAAGTGAACCTTAACCACATAACCGCGTAGGCATTATAATGGACGATTCATGTAAACTATGAACAACTACTAACAATTAACTAAACGTTGACGTCATTATGTTATTCCGCTTACAAATACTACGTAGGTATGTTTTTATGAAATACGTTAATTGTCAATATATATTATTTAATAATAGGTACCTGCTATAGATGATTAATCCACATTATCAAATACAAGTAGCAGTAAAATCTGAGGTATTTAGTTCTTACAAATGACAATAAATCTTATGAAAGTTTTATATTTATAACGTTAACTCTTCACACTTTTTAGAACAAAGCATATGTATATAGTATTGATGATATGCGTTCTTACCTATTATTATAAACTGAAAATATCCACAAAGTTAAATCACGATTAGACTAACACACGAAATTGAAGTCAATTTTGCATACACTGTACTTCAATAATACAATGTTTTCAACCACTTCCAGGTCCGCAATGCAACAGCCTTCTTCATCATCAACTTGTCCTGCTCTGACCTGCTGTTCTGCTGCTTTATCCTGCCACTAGCTGCGTCCACATTCTACAACAGATCCTGGGCTCATGGCAAAATCCTGTGCTACATGTTCCCGTTCGCCAGATATGCATTGGTAGCCGTCTCACTGTTCACCGTCCTGGCCATCACGATCAACAGATACGTGATGATCTCCCATCCCCGACTCTATCCCAAGTAAGTATAACATATTCTATAAATACTAGTATCTACCTTTAAATGATTCGACCACCTTTCTATATATGTTATCGTTAAATTACAAATCAATATCTAATAGAACTTCTCTCTTGTCAACAGATTGTACACAACCAGAAATATCTGCTTCATAACGGCAGGCATTTGGATCTTCTCGTTCAGTGCGTTGTTACCCACATGCTTCGAGGTTTGGGGCGAGTTCAGTTTGGACCCCATCACTGGTTCCTGCACCATCGTCCCTGATGACAACCAAAATTCACCAAAGAAATTCCTTTTCATCATCGCTTTCATCCTCCCGAGTCTAGCAATTATTTTATGTTACGCTAGAATATTGTGGATTGTTAGAAAAACCGCAAAGAAGTCACGAAACCCTCCTACGCAAATGAAGGCTTTGAGCATGAGTACCACGACAATTGCAACCAGATCTATAGATTTGGACAAACGCCCACCCAGGTACACAGTGCCCTCGTTTCCCATGAACTGCTTCATACACACAGCGGCTGAAATATCAAGTGATAGTTCCACGCCATCGGATACAGAGAGACAGTCTGTGACCCCTCAGGACAATACGCCTCGATTTGGACATGATAATAAAAATTTCCGTCGAAGCTTCATAGCCACGATGAGGTGGACCACAATACCTGCGAAGCCACGTCTTCCTACAAAGAAAGACAAGAAGTTACTTACTATGATAGTAGCTATCATGGTCTCATTTTGCGTCTGTCACTTGCCTATCACCCTTATGAAGACAATATTCTTTGAAACGACGACACACTCAGTAGCACACGTGTTCGGGTATGTACTCATTTATTTCACAACATGCGCGAACCCCGTCATTTACGTCGTCTTGTCTAATGAATACAGACAAGCATACAAAAGTGTATTTAAATGTAAACGATGAGATTGTTTCTTTTTATTCGTGTAAATACTCAATAGTGTTATATCTTAGTGCGATATTAACGAAATTGAATGCTGTTCGGCAGTGATAAAGTCCTTAATCGAACGGTTTAGATCCAGACATGATTGTCATAGCAGATTACTCGTACGTACTTGTATCATGAGTGTGATATTTGGGTATCTCTCTAATAAAACGTAATTGAAAATGTACTAATAACTATAACGATAATTTATTACATTCCGATTTAAATCAACGTGTCATGTAGCTAACGATGCCATATGAATAACTTTCAGCTGTCTAAGTCAATACGAGTCGATTCTATTTGTCTAATACGTGTAAATATTTATTAACTAAGCTTTAGCAATAATTTGTAGCGAAGAACTTTACCTAATATAATGTTAAAAGCAATGGTAATTACTCAGATTTGTCGTATACTATTAGATCGAAAACATCATAAGAAATTGGAAATGGGTAAACAAATATTTTCACAATGACCTAAGTACTATTAAAAAGTATACTACATTATTGTTTTGATTTCAAAAAGTTAATCGTTAATATTCGAATTATAAATAAATTATTCAACAGCATTTAATATTCATAAATGAATCAATCAAAATGCTTATTGAAACGTATACCAAATAAATTTTAAAATGAACTGAAGCTTGTTACCTCCATTTACCTTCGAATAGTTTATACAAATCTACGATAATATAACTTAAATTATATTGACATACGATTATACCATTAAGAATAATTTCTAAGGTATTACCATAAATATAGACATTGTTATATGAAAAAAACAAAATAAAAGAGTTCTTCGGTGTAATTAATAAAAAATCGGATACCCCTTAATTAAAGTTGACGATTGTTTGCCTCGACCATAATGACGTGTTCGTACAGTAATCGCGGTCAAAATTCTACGTAATGATCATAGAAAATATACCTTTTATTTTACAACTCTACTCCAAAGGAATAGAGTTGAAAATGGGTTAAATGAATAAGGGTCTAATGGTCCACAACTTCCTTAATCTGCAGTTGACGTATGAACGCGAACGGTTGTTTGCCGAAGCAAATAATAGTCACCTGTATGTTGAGCGTTGTTTGTTTTATGATATTTGACTTTACGCTTCAATTACTGAATTCGATTGCCTACTTTCTTACTTGAATGATATAAAACTTACAGAATAATAAAATTTAATGATAGATGAGTTTTAATTACCGTATCTAGTAGTAGTCTGTTTATCATTTGTCATAAAATGAACAGTGAAGGTGTTTCGTACTAGTACTAGTACAATATCAACGTGTGATATTAATGTAAATAAGGAGGATGTCAAAGACATAGGTAATTAAAGTTTCGATAACGATTAATATTGAATCGAAGACGGTGCTGTTTCATTCGATTGATATTGAATATAACAGAATTGAAAGCGAGTTTCTCATGAGAACATTATTGTAATTAAATCCTAGATTAAATACAGAGACGTTATTTTTCAATTTTGAGAATAAATTCTCTCAAAAATGGCAGCCTTTTGCTTCGAACTCATTCTTAGTTAAGTCATAAAATTAATATAGATTGTAAACTATTGTAAAACATCGCTTTGATTCAACAAAAAATGTGAAGACGACCATTCCAAATGATTGTCGGTTTTTGACGAAATATTAAAATGTTACTAGTGTTTAGAAATAAATGTTTTGTATGATAGACTATATGGAATAATTATAACACATAAGTCTTAACCGAAGATTACCCAAAGATGTTATACCTAATTGTATATAGGAAAGTTTATTTAGTCAATAGACGATTTGTACTGTATTTATTTGTAATAAGATAGCATTTAGAATAAACGATGTTTCAAATGTTTTCTTTAACGGAATCTGGAAATCGATTGAGCTGATTTTCCGTGTATAATCTGGACAATGTGTTTTGTTTATATTATAATCTTTGGTAGCGAACGAATGTAGGACAAATAAGTTGCAAAGTTTGACATGGGTCTGATAGGATAAATTTTGTTATAATTTTGAATAAGTACCACTGACTATGTAATACATACAGTACATACATACAGTACATACTATGTTCTAAAGTACTGAAGCGATATCAAATTTTTGACTGAGTTTGTACCAAACCTGTCACAGTAAGGCTTTATTTAGTGTTTCAGACGACCCTTTAACAAGAACCCTCGTTTTAAGTTACCTTAATTAAAGCAATTATTGGGATTTTCGAATTCGAATTTCTCACGAAGTCTGGAATGTTTTAGTGATAGATTAAAGCGATGTTTCTATTGGTTGCAGACGGTAATAAGATTACAGTAAAATAAATTATGTGACAATCAAATGACATTTGTCTAGATTATATTTACAGTCAACCATAGGTCACAGAATAATGTTTTATGCCACAGTCCAAATTCAAAATTATAAATACAATTTCTTTTTATTTAGGCTTTTGTTTTTCGTTATCCGTTTAATTAAGCTTAAACTGAATTGAATAAGAGTGAATTCAAATAGACTTATTATGATTATTATTTATTTTAGTTATTGTTGGGTTGAGCTGTGACAAATTTTTTGTGAATCTCCATTTAATTTATTAAGCAACATACTATGTATATTGTACAAAAGTTGAAATACGTAAACAGCAAATGAAAATAATAATTATCTCGTCCATTCTATTTATGACACAAATAAATAACACATCGTATCTCGCTTAGATTCTACATGCAAACTGGAAAATAAAATATGAAAGTTGTTTTATTATTGTCTATGGCTAACAGTTTTTTTTAAATACCATAATATTGTCACAGATCAAGCAAATTGTATAGAAGCGTTATGTTTAAATACTCTTTTGTATAATGTGTCAAGATGAGTGGAACACCAAGACGTAGGTACCAAAGAACCAACTCCAGGGGCCACACCCTTAAGCCATTGTACTTACCAAAGATCTAATTAAAAATAAATTATAAAATATTACACTACATATTGCCGTTTTATTTACCTTTAGAAAACATGTATTGACAATAAAGTTGGTTGAATACACTACTATGTCATAAAAACAAGAAAAGAGCGTATTACTTTTTAAAAGGCCGGCAATGCACCTGTGACTCCACTGGTGTTACGGGTGTCCATGGGCGGCGCAGATCGCTTACCATCAGGTGATCAGTCTGCTCGTTTGCCTCCTATTCTATTCTTATTCCATTAAAAAAAAGACACTATGTGAACCATAATGTAATGAGCAAGAGATCTTGTGTTCAATTCCTGGCTCGAGCAAAGTTCTTCTCTAGAAGATGGGCGTAAATCTTAAGTTATTTAAATACTTTATTCAAGCCATAATGTTACATAAATAAAAGCAAAATAAAATCAATATCCTTTCAAGCAAAAAGTTTAAAAGCGAAAGCTCTCAAAGAAAATTGCAATCATTCAATAATAAATTACTCGACCCACTTGTGACACTGTTATAAGGGCCAATTTGCCGTGACACTTTGATAGTAACAGTGGACAATCTTACGTTTTATTAAAGTTCAAAAAGTTATAGTTACAGATAAGTAAGAAATGCAACTACGCAGATGGGAGACATTTTGTGTGCTAAAAACAAAATCTATTTAGGATTAGAAAAACTATTCACCGAAAACTTGTTTCAAATACTATAAATAAATACTTTTCTCTTAATACAATTCACCCGCTGCTTGATTCCTATTGATCGAAGCGTGATGTTTCATGGCCCGTAGCCATCTTAGATAATTTCATTAATTCATTATTAGGATAAGACTGCCTCGTTGGCCGAGTGGTTGCAAGTGCGAGTGCTGCCGGGCAAGGGGTATCGGGTTCGATTCCCGGGTCGGGCAAAGGTTTACTAGGATTTAAAAAAAAATCTCAGTGGCAGCACGGAGTCTGGAATTGTGTCCGGTATATGGCAATAGCATGGGACTCATAACATAAATAGTGAAAAGTTGGTGTTACATTGTACAGTGGCATAATGTACACCTCTGCCTACCCCTTCGGGGATAAAAGGCGTGAATGTTATATTATTAGGATAGGACAACCAGTAGTAGATACAAACATTAAGTCTTATATCTAATCACTTTCATGACGCACTGTACCTGTCTAATACGAAAATATTTTTCCAATTTGAACCAGTAGTTCCCGAGGTTAGAGACACTTCTCAACATAAATCCCTCGTCTACACAGACATTCAGTTATGAGCCGTAACATTTAAGGGTGCAATTAATTTGTCAACGAAGTAAGAGGATGAAATATCAGGATTTTATTTTATTTACAAAGTAAATGGTTTTACTGTGCATGTAGTTAAGATAGGAGGCCTTATCTTATTTCTCCTAATTACCAAACGGGTTCACTTTTGCACTATCTGCCTCTAAAATGTTTTGTCTATGCACTATTTTTGAAAGAAAAACCAAATACAACATCAAAAAAATAACATAAAAATTTTGTATAGATCTGCTATGAAACGAGTTATAAACAATGCCATCATTTTTTTTAACGTTGCCCCACATTAAGTTTTTTCTCCTGTGTCGTGGGTGCCTGCGTTACATACATGACACCCAGACCCGGAACAACAATCAGTGGATCACACAAAGAGTTGTTTCGTGCGGTGATCGAACTCTCGACACGTTGCGCGGCCACCAGTTGCCCAGCCCCCGCGCCAACCGTGAAGTCGATTCAATACAAAAATCCTCACATAACTCACTGTCTCAAAAAATAACTAACCATTGACAATGCTTCCTTAATACCGATAGAAACGTGCGATAACGGTTAAAACGTACGTGGAAAACGTAAGCTCAGCTTGATTCACGTAAGGAAAATAACGTTAACGATGAAAGCCGTCACGTAACTGGGTCAATTAATTTGCCAATACCGAAATAGATTTTTTCCTACACTATGTTACGTAGGGATTCCGAAATAGGACGAAATTGACCTGACTAGTAAGGCATTGAGTTACGCCGCTAATGGACTGCCCTAGGCACATAGCATGTTTTATTCATTCTCCGCTGGTGCGCATTCACCTTTAAAATGTATCGTAAATATTTTGGGAGTTCTCGAGCAAGCCGCGGTTACACTGAAACTTGATTAATTCTACTGAAACTTCAAATCTGAATATATTACAAATATTGTTTTATTTCTAGGTGGGTAAATATTTTATTTTATGTTTATGTCGTTGAAGTCGATGCCTAGTCGGTAAAGGTTGAACCACACTTCAAATGATTCTTGTTTGACACTTCCAATAAAAATACATTATAATCAATCTCTATTACGTAGTATTTAATTAATTTAAAAATGTTTTTCCAGATCGTGCTATTGGTCTGTTTTGTTTTTTAGTATATTAATGCATTATTTTTTTATCAAGCGTAATTATCAATTATATTTGGTTATATGTGATTACTATTGAATTACTATTGATAATTATGTTCTTACTAAAATAATACTAATGTAATCTCTTTCAAAAAACATAAATTAAAGACGCCAATATTAATTGAAAAGATGATTACAAAAATTTGCATTTTCTGAATTTATTCCACCTAATTTAATACAGTGGTAGAAGAAACAAATTATTTATTAAAATATTCAAGTGTCTGTATAATTTAAAAGCATTTTATTTAGCATATTTTCTTCATTTTGATCATTAGTCATCTAAAAGTTAAAAATCATTAAAATTTTACTACAGGTACTTTTTTATCGAATAGTTTTGATTGCGACTCCTTTTTTTTATAACCCCTAAATTAGTAATGAAAGTCGTCGAAAGAAACGTTGAGAATCTATGAAACTTTCACTGCATTAGGTTAGCTTAGTTCCATATTTCACAAGGAACAAACGCAATAAGGAAAAATCAAGGTACTTTAGTACCGTACACTGGACCACCATTATTGGGTTGGTAGGTGGTAGGTGGTACAGGAAAAACATTTCGTCACATCTTTTTATGTACCTTCTCCATCAGATGATAGAGTGGTTGGATGACAGTCACGCACTCAAAACACACAAAAACATAGTTTTTTCCTCACAATTATGTGGTTATTGTCAGTGCTTAACTATTGGGTTTTTTGCTTTTAAAATTCTAAATAACAACTAGTTTGAATTGTTCTGTTTGTTCGTCATCCTTTATAGGAAATTCGTAATTTTACTACCTCGTGTAACCAGTACACAGGATTAGGCGAAATATTGCTTGGTGCACATCAAAACCCTCCCTAACCCTTTAAGTCATAGGAATGTTGACACATTGTACTAATGTTAAAAAGGCTTAGATCTGCCCACACAACTTGGCATTATGACCTACAAGGCAAAATCCTGCGTAAATGAATGAAAGGACTTATAAAGGTTGGATATAGTTCAGTGAACTTTACAAGTAGGTGGTAACAGAACGTAACTGCGATGACTGATGGCCGGACATTTATGAATCGTCATATTTTTTGCTCCTCCGCACCAGGTCAGTGATAAATGATGGAATTGGAATCGGGAACCCGACATTTTCCACCAAAATCAAATCCTCATTTAGATCATTGAATACTCTTTTATTACCATTTGCAGTAGATTAAGGAAAAGAGTCTTTGGTTTTGTTCTAATCATATTTATGATATTTAGATCCACATTTATAGCTCTCAAGTCTTCGCATCTGGTTATTTGCCCACTGTCTGAAATTAAAGAACTATGAAATGAATGATATAGGTTTGTAACAAAACAAACAGACAAACTGTCAAAAATCTTTATAATCTGCCTGTGCGACTGTACCTACATTAAAATGCAAAGCTATTTTCGTTAACAATAATTAAATTAAAACAGAGCAGGATTTAAAGTGACGGGCAAAGACTACGCCATGCACTTCCGATATTAATTTGGGTCTAGTAGGTAGTAAACTAGTTAAAGGTCCGACGCGGATATCGGCATAACTTAATTTATCCTGTATCGTAGTACATTGTTACTCATATGTGGACATGATCCCGTTATAGCAACGTGTGTAGGCATCCATTGTTTAATAGCAGGTAAATTATTGTTGTCTGTAGTGTTGAATTGTTGAATTAACTCGTTAGTTAATTATAATTTCATGGATGGTAAAACAATATGTTTGTTAGCAATATTAGGATTATAATGCGCTAAAGTTAATAAAAACAATGATGTTCTTGTTTAACACAAATATACAGCCTTGGCCAAAAGTATTAGGCACCCTCAATAAAGTTCCCACGCACCCGCATCATTTAACTCGTCGAGTACCGGTTTTGCAGACACAATTATAGAACAATAGGTTGCGGTCACCGGTGACCGCTTGGTATTTGACAGTTTAAACAATGAGTAAATATTCTTTTGAAAGATGATCCCTGTGTCATAAACCACTATTTAAGACAATGGGCGGCAATATTTTAGTGGTTGTATAACATCTGGTGTATCAATAACGAAATATTACTTTTTTACAAATTTTATTTTTAATATTTGGTCATTCTGCATTTGGAAGTCTTCGCACAAAGATAGTACATTTGTAGTTTTGTGATTAAATTGAGAAGAGATTTATTTGAAATGCCAAAGAGAAACGAAATTAGTCTTGAAAATTGTGTAAAAATTCAACTTTTACATGAGCAAGGAAAGACTCAGAAAGAAATTGCGAAGTTGGTAAAATGTTCGCGATGCGCAGTTCAATCTGCTATTAAACGTTTTGCTGAGACTGGTACACATGCGAATAAACCAAGAACAGGGAGGAAACGCGTGACTACTAGCCGCCAGGACAGGAAACTTATCCGTGAGTCTATCAAAGACAGAAAAAAAACTTCTTCAGTGCTGGCTGCAGCTTTAACTGAAGAGACTGGTAAACCCATAAGCGCTCGGACTGCAAGACGAAGGCTCGTAGAAGCGGGTTTAAAAGGTTGCAAAGCCAGAAAGAAGCCGTGGCTTTCAGAAGAGAACAAAAAAAAACGGCTTGATTGGGCTCTGAGACACCAACATTTCACAGAGGAGGATTGGTCAAATGTACTATGG